GGCTGGCCGCTGGGGGCGCGCGCGGGCCAGGCTTCGCGTCTCACCGCTTCTGGGGGGGAAGCTGGCGGCGCGAGCTGCCGGGAAACCGGCGAGGTTCCTTGAGTACACGGAGCGCTGATCGCAACTATTTTAGTGCGAAACTGCTTGGAAACTAAGAAATTCCGAAGGATCCAAATAATTTCTCCAATACGGAAACACATACATACCTACAAAACGTTACATTGGTCTACATCACACCTGTAGCTTGCTGTGGAGAAAAATAACTCACTCCCCTTACCAGTCTGTCTGGGAAACCTCACCTTTTAGCCCATGTGAAATTGTGGGTTCTCCTGAGGCGCCGGGTTCTCCTTTGCTACCTACACCCCAGAGCAGCAGCCATCCTGCCCACACAGGATTTTGGGGATGTGGGCAGGAAGAGCTGTAATACAGGGGCCCCACAGGCAACACAGCTCAAACTGAGGGCACCTCAGCTTGTTCTTCAGGCCTGGTACGAGAGGAAAGGAGAGCTCCTCAGTAACATAAAACTTTTTACAATAAGATAGAGAAAAAAACCAAACCAAACCCAAACAAAACACCCCCCTCACTTGCCTTTTTTGAAGAGCTCCTGCTTAATTTATTGTCTTTTATAATACCAGAAACTAACACTAACCAAAAGAATCCTGATCACATTACAGGTTACATTAGCAAACAATTTGTAATTGCATAGATCATTGTCTAACTTATGACTATACTAAAGCATTTTTATCATAGTTTTGGATAAAAAAATAAATCCTTTGTCCCTTATTTATTTTATTACAATGGCACCTGGGAGCCCACTAAAGAAAAACTCCATGAGGGTCAATGGGAACACAGACCAGAAAATGTCCTTACTCTAGAGAGCTTACAATCTAAGAAAGCTTTGTAGATGTTTAGATTAACAAGTACCTTAAAAGCTTTTGTGCTTTGCAAGGTTCAAAATCATCAGAGTAGATCAAAACATTCCAGACAGATATTCAGATTTGGTGGCCAATTTCCCATGCATCAAGTTAGTCAAATGTTATCAATTTTAATTTCCTCCACAGCAGGGCAGATAAGAACAGTCACTGAACAGTTGGTCCACAGCGCTACAGCCAAGATTCTCAACAAGCTCGAGTGAACTCAGGTGATGCAGGAGTAAATGCTCAACTCAACTCTCCCAGGGAGGGTGAATTTCAGAAGTTATTAAAACTTTACTTTCAAGTCAACTACAGGGTTATAAGGTAGGTTTCCAGACCTTGATGAAACACACATATACTCATCAAGCTCTGAAAAATTCTTATAATTAAAGGTAATTTTTACAATGTGCCATATAAGCTATAGCCATGAATGTTAGCTGTTTGTCTTTAAGAAAAAACAGGGCATAGCTGAAGGCAAAACTAAACACTTAAAACTTCTATGTACTGACATGTAGGATCACGCAAGAAGGAAAAAGAATGACAGTAGTAGCTAACTACAGGTTCATAGCTTCAGCCAAAACACCTATGTGGCATATTTCTGTAGATGTTCCTCATGACCATCATCCCCATGTTGCTGTTGATAATGCTGGTACAATTTGGACCCCCAGGCTCCCCCCATCCCTTCTGCTGCTGGAAAGTGTCCGTTGGACATACTAAGTATAGTGGAGGTCAAGGATTTAATGTAATTTTTGGCCAGTGTGAGAGTCTCAATTTTGGAAAGTTTATTCTCAGCTCTCACATGAGGGATCACCTCCCGCAAAGCCTGGAATGCATTGTTGAGCTTGTGCATCCTCTGCCTCTCCCTCTCGTTGCTTTCCAGTCTCCTCAAGTGCCTGTCCTTACTGCTCCAAGGATGCTTGGCTCTGGCCGTAGTGATCTTGCTGCTCTCCTCCTTTCCCCCAGCCCTTCTTCCTTTGTGTCGCAAACATTTTGCCAGTTCTTTTTTACTCATTGGTGACTCACCAGAAAATGCTTCTTTGTCAGCAGTATGCCTTTGCTTCTTTCCTTTGGTTTTGGTCTTCATGTTTTGGTAGATTAAGCGTCAATGTGCTGTAAAAAATATGACACACACATCTTTAACTGTTGCACAGTTCAGTGCTGAACAAATGATCCAGTGCAGGTTTGTCCGGTATGTTTGCTTGTTCACTACTGGAAAACCCTTCAGAAGTTGTGAATGTTATTAGTCAAGATGACCTGTGCAGATGAACAGAGGAGAAAATCCTCTTTTAGAGAATATCACCTGGAAAGAAGAGGCCGCAGGGGGAGCAGAAGCCAAGTGAATGGAACCATTGAAACAAAGATGCAGTGAATCACCTATTGGTGTCCTCAAGTATGGGAAGCCAAGTGAAAAATAGACACACCTCTACTTTCTCATAAGTAGACATTGAACTGGAAAGATTTCTCTCACTGCACATAAAAGAAAGAGGTCTCTAAGCTGATCCAGTCTTCCTGTGGGAAGAGTGAACCATAACTCAAAAAATATCAGTACAGTGGTCAATTAGGTTTGATATCCCATTGCCTCTGTTTCTTTCATCTCACATGCTTCTGTTTTCTCCCAGCTCTAGTTACCACAAGTTATAATAAAACCATACACTGCCTCATTGCAGGCTTCTGTGTGAGGCATTAGACAGAATCCTCAGGCTCTTTATTCAGAAAGCAATTTCTCCTTAAACTCCTGGTAATTGCTTTTTGTAGGAATAGGTTTCCACTGCACCAGCAGTCCACTAGAGGGAAAGACAACACGCTCAGAGGCTCAGAAACTCCTTGCCAGCAACACGTTTTCACCCACAGCATTTCTGCATTCTGCACTAGTCCCCACCACACACACAAAAAGCACTTCCCTCTTCCAACAACAACCAAATAGCAGTGGGGCTTAATTGCCATTTCTGCCCCTGCTCTACAGCAGCAGAGCTGGTTAGCCAAAAAGACACAGCAATGTTCCTTCCTCACATGTTAGCAAGGCAGATGACAGCACCAAAATTTTACCTTCCCTCACCCAGGTTCTGTGCCAACACTACACTGGAAGACAGTGGCCTCACAGCAACCCTGCCACTAACACCAACAATCTGTGTTGCTGAGACTATTTCCAGGATGCTTCCTTCCACTTTCTTCCAGTCCATGTAGTTGTAGAAAAGTTTTGTCTTTAAAAAATTATGTTTTTATGCTGATGTTATTATGTAGGAGCAGTTAGAGAGTTGGTGAACCAATTAAAAAAAAAAAAAGAAAAAAACACAAACAAACCAGCCACAAATGCTTGACTGTCCCCAGAGATGACATCAACCTTAGCTGGAGCAGGTAGAGAGCAGTTTCTAGGGGTGGTGCAATAAGTATCACTTCCTCTCTCATTTTTTTAGAGGCATCTACAGCTGCTCAGCACTCACAGTGACTCAGTTCTCTGCCTACAAGGGCATCCTGGCCATCCCTGGGTTTGTTATTATCAGGGAGGCAAGTTTGCCAGAAAGGACAGGAATTCACAAAACAGTTTGGTTAGGGCAGCACCCAAATGACAAATGCTGAAGGACAGCACTGACTAGCTTGTGTTGTGGGAACCTAGAAGAAGTGCTAGACACGCAGATATCTTAAGCAAGAAAACAGGACTAAAGCTGAGCACTGGGTTTGTCCTGGACTCTTAAGTCTAACTCGCTTAGCAGAAAAGGCATAACTGCAGTACAGAGAAGTAAACGCAGGCACAGAAGATACCAATCAACTTCCCCCCTCCAGTGCAAAAAGTCCTGCTGGGGAGAGCAGAGAAATGAGCAGCTACTGTTTGAAAGGAAAACAGCACACAGGACTTGCAAAGGAGGTTCATGGAGGCAGCCAGCAAAGAAAGCTAGACGAAAATCCATGAGAAAGCAAGCTTCACCAAACTGTGGGAGCAAGGCAGTCTGTAAAACTGCAGGCTAGCAGAGGATAAATGGGATGACTTGGGGTAAGAGGGTGCTCAGCTGGCCAAGGTTTGCTTTCAGACGGTTACGTGCTGCTGTAACCCTGAGAAGCCATCTCAATGGAGCTACACTCAGGCTGCTGTGACCCCAAGAGAGATGGCATGGGTGTGCAAGGAGAAACGGAGATAGAGAGGGGATCAGGAGCAACACACTGGGGTGGTCAAGAGAAACCTAGGAGAGCACGCAGCCAACTATCAATGAATTTTCCACCCTCTGCACCCTTCCACCAGGGTTGTTGTCCCTCCTCTGTGACTTACCGCTGCTGTCAGCTATGGAGAAGGTGCCTAGGGGCCGAGAGGTGACACAGCAGGGACCTGCGAGAAGCCAGGAGCAGCTAGAGGGTCGTGGGAGCAGCAGGGGCCCTGCCTGCCCTCTGAGCTGGGCCAAGGTCTGTCACCAAGAGCTCGCGAGGGAACCCGGACCAGCCTGGCGCTGAGGGGAGCCCCCGGGCAGAGGCGGGGAAGCGCTGTCAGGAGGCCCCCAGCCCCCCTGAGCAGCTGCGGCCCCGCGTCCCG